TTGTATTTTATAAGCATTCGCTAAAGCTTTATTGCGAGCAGCGTCTGACATTTTTATTTTCTTCAAGAAAAATGCCATAGCCGTGACTTTATAAATGTCAGCCCGTTTGCAGAGCCCTTTTTGTACTGTTTATCCTACTTTACAGTCTCGTTCATTGCAGTATGCACGTCGCAGTAAAACTCGGAGAAAACGCAGACATTCCGAGGACTCATTGTTAATCAGTCGGCGAATCGGCATCGTCATCGTCGGCGCTAAATAGTCCCGCGAGAAAAAAAAAAGCGAACGGCATCAGTTTTCTCAACAACGAAAGTCGCTATCCGTCGAAAAATAAATATATTAATGCGAAACTCGAGAGACAGTGTATGAGTGGAGGGGTAGAATAGATGAGACGGCGCGATCCGCGCCGCCACGTGAAACGCGGAGCCCCGACCGGACCCCGCCGCTGCGCTACTTATTTTTTTGTTTTATTATAATCGTGGGCAGTTTTGGCAGTGATATTCAATCGTCGTGAATGAGGAGAAAAGTACTTGAGCAATCGGCGACGACGTTGGGCGTCGTCAAGGTTAATGGCAAGTACTACTTTTGCAATTTTTTTTTTCTAATTAAAATCCTCTCCTTTAATAAAATATTTCAGAAATAAATGTACGCGCCTGTGAATCTCTCTCGTGATTAAATTTTACTGCCGCGTCGAAGAACGAAAAGTTAAATCCATAATCTTTTTCCTGGTATCCATATCGCGAATTACGAGGAATATAATTTTCACGTATGGATGTTCCGGCGCGCGCATGTACACGTCGCCGCAAAGAGGAAAAAATTTAGCACGGAAAAACGTTCTCCGCTCTGTGAATTCGCAAAAGTCTTGACGTTTCTCCTCAAACACCCGCTAAAAATCCGCTCAAAATGTCCCGAGTGAGGTATTATAACAAATAACCATAAAACAGTAGTAGTAATACAAAAAATAGTCAAGTCGTCGCGAAATAAATAATATATACATATTACGCATGTCCTACGCATACATATATATTATTTACTATATATGTATACATATATATCTGCACGTGTATAGAGCTTTGCAATCGCATTGCGACCGTAGAATGAAAGTGGATCGAGAGACCGCGGCCTTCTATACAATCGGGAGTACTTTTAATAGTTGTATCTTTAGAGCAAGGTTGAGAAGATTAGATAATATAGATATTTTATGATAATCCGACAATCTTATCCGCATTTTTTATAAAGAAGAAGCGAAGAAAAGTCCCAATCCACGTTTACTCCGCGGTCCGAGGCCGCCGTAATAAATAGATCGTATATTATCTCGTCAATCTCTAAACTCTAATAACACCATTTTTCTAATCAGTATAAATGAACCGGCGAAACCGTGGAACGCGCAAGGTTGAATCGCGATGCCCAGCTCGCACTATGAAGATAATTTAAAATAAATTTCGTCGGACGAAATTAAGTGGACGATTTAATAAAAGCACCGCTTGCAAATATGAAAGATAATCAAGTTCACATCAGCAAATGTAAACAGTATTAATGAATAAATTGGAAGTTGTGACGAAAATTTATTGTTAAAATTTTTGTGTTCGCGAAATGAAATTATATAATTATTTTATATACACATGTAACAATTCGAAATAGTGCGAGTTAAGTGAACGCGATCCCGTCGAACATCGCGCATTCCAGTGTTCCGCCAAGCACCACGGCGTATCACTCTATATTGATATTCATACTTTTTGTAACTCTGTTTTTTTTTTCACTAAAGCAGTCTTACATAAAGCGGCAACTTTTGGAAATTATTCGGTACGCACCTTCACAAAATGATTTCTTTATTAACTGATGTTCGCAAACAGTTCTCTGTCTTTCTCTCTTCCAATTTTTCTCTCTTTCTTTCTCCCTCTCTTTCCCTTTTCCGTATTCTCGTCCCTCCGCCATCTGCACCCGAAGAAATGCAGGTTGAGCTATGCAAATTTTCAAAATTTTCCGCGTGTCTACCGACTAAGCTTTCTCTTAAATCCGATGTGAGTCCGAAAGCGCGAATCGACATATGCTAATCGACGTTCTTGCAGTTTAATGAATTCGAGAGAAAAGATTTTACATCTTTCAGCAGTTATTAAGTCGAATTAAACTGGCTTCCACGCCGAATAATTATACTCGCGAAACCTGTTTGCACTTTTGACAAAAAAATTTATATATAGCTTGTTGTACGATTTTCTCTCGAGGTCTCAGCCAGATGATAATCGACAGACGCTTTCGGATTTTCAGCCTCTTAATATTTTATGTACACGTTAAGACGGACGTAAACGACTTCAAATGCTCGTGCACCGGAATTCGTCCTTCTCGACAAGGTTCGAAAAGCAAACGCTCATTTTCTTTCCGGAGAAAAAAAATCACTGGACTCTTACTGGAGCACTCTCGTGTTATTTCGTGCCAACCAAGAATCAAAATCATTGTCATTTCGGTTTTCGAAGAATGCGAGTCTGCAATCGATGGATAATCAAAGCGTTCGTGTCTCGTCCTAACTACGTATATCTCCTCACGCATAAACGCCATTCTCTTCTCTAATCCGACTTAATCGTTGCAGAGTAATTCTACCTTATAGCTTACGGTATCACAGAGTTACACGCGGTATCGCTTAATTGCTCCCAGTTCGTAATCCCCGATACGCAACCGATAGAAAGAAAGCGCGCAAACCACTACATCCTCCGCGCGGAAAACCAGGACAACTGTAGACGGATGCGAAGGACGTCAAGGTGTTGCAATCTTATGAGAACGAATGGCTCTGAGAAAAATTGCTGTCTAAATTGGAATCGGACTTGGACTATCAAATTAACTTGTCATGTAATATATATAAAATTAAATTTACAATTTTCGTGTTGAAAAGATGTTATTTGCCATTTTTTATTTTTTAAAAATTTATATTGCATTTTTTTAACTTTGCTCAATGATATTTTTAATTTAGAAATTTAACAATTTAATGTTAACCGAAATAAACATTCTTCTTTTCATAGCAAGTTCTAAGATTTTGAAAGAAATATTTAATTAGAAAAATTAAAAATCGAGTCAGCCAAAATTAATTAAAAAGTTTCATTTATTTAATCAATTAACCAATACGAATGATACATTTTTCTCATTTATTAAGGTCATAACTTTTCAAATTGATACGTCTCAGATAAAAAGAAGTATCTCTCTCAAGAGAAATCTCTCATGACGGAAGCGGTGCTCCTTCCTTGTAACACTCGACGTCCTTTGCACGTGCGACCAAGGACACACGTTCCCTTCCGCACCTCCTTCCCTCCGATCGACTCGTCTTACAACAAAATAATACACTATATATATTATATATTACATGAAAAAATTAACAAGCGCTCCGTAGCGACGACGCGAAATAACAAATATACGAAATAACTCGAAATTCGCGAGGATGCACCTCGGGAAAAACGTTGTTTTACAGCTTCGATGGCATGTGTACATGTGTAGATGGGTATGTATGTGTGTATGATGAGTGACAGTTCGTTTAAGAAAATATCTTCGGCCAGCACACGCGAGTGCCCCGATCTGACAAAAGTGGAAATCTCCGGAAACGATAACGTCTCAGCGAATCGTGCCTTTTGCGTACAACAACGCGTACACCGCAGAGTGCGTTAATGGTACCGGATGCATTTATCATACTCCCCCGTCACGTATATTAGCACCACTATCGCAACGCTTCAACGTGGACGAAATAGCAATGTCGTCAGTAAGATACGCGTCGACAATTGCAAACTGTTCGATACATTTCTCACTGCCTTGAAAAAACATTGTGCCAAATTAATGTCTTTATAAAAACATTGCTAGAACATTTATTTTGAAATAACCCGATTTATCTTGATTTGTTTTCAAAGAAACTCTTTTAAAGTCAACGATATTTTCACGCAATGAGTTTTGCGTTATCTAGAGTTCTATTTTTTGAACAAAGGCCTTCTATTCGGACGTTAATGCATGTTAATCGACGCGTCGGTTGTATGCGAAAGGCGACGTTCGTATTGTCTCGCCGTGATTTCCAGCGGAGATTAACGCGATATAGAAGGGAGATACGAAAAACTAATTCGCAGAAGGCGAATACGCGAGTACAACTAACTCTTTGCGACGTCGAATAGCGCGGTATACAGTCGTGAGAATAAGTCGCTTCTCTCTTAGGCTTCATTCGCTCGCGGTCTGACTCGACGTATACGCACGTTCATTCGCGCCCCTAAACCACTTCGCGCAGTTTCCTCTTCCCATGCGAAGACGCCGGTCCCGCGAAGACGGGAAACTGCTTGCATCCGGCACGCAAACTCGATGCTGACTCGAACGACACAATGAACGAGCGAGCGTCGTTATTGTTCTCCGTTTTGGTGCTATGATAAAAACAACGATATTCGCGCGACGCTTCTTACACTAAGCTACTCTCTCTTTACGCTTTTGGCCCGTATTCTCAGCGCGCATTTAGCACCGTCCTCGTTTCACGTTGAACGCATTCCTCGCGTTAAGCAAATAAATACTCGGACAAAGTCGACACTCCAAGCGCTGAACGGCGCGGTGAGAATACGAGTCCCTATCTTTAGACGGTTTTGTGTGACGTACTGATTAGAGGACGCTTTTCAGTCTAGGTGAGAAAGTGAAATGGATATTATCGTTGGAGGTTTTTCGCGGATAACGTGAGACCGCGATTGAACAACGAAAAAAAAAAAAACGCATCAAAAAATGTTTGACAAATGTTCAATGTCTAAAAGATTATAGCATCTCTACAGAATGTTTAGAATATCAGAACGGCTTTTAGAACGTCTTTTGGATATCTTTTATCTACATTTTATTTTTTTTTTTTTTGGGCAGATATGGTGACGCGTGACGATTTACCGCCGCGGTGGAAATCGAAAGTACTCTCGCGCCCGCTCTCTGAATGTCTCTCTCTCTCTCTCTCTTTCTCTCTCTCTCTCTTTTCTCTCTCTTCGGTCTCGACCGTCCTACGTTAGGAAAAGAATAACATATAGAGCGCGATCACGCGCGCGATGAAGGAACTCATTGTTAGCGTTTAGGTCTGACAAGAAGAATAATAGTTACTAGAATAGTTATCGCGAGTGACTGTTCCGTAGTCGACTGACCGCGGAAATCTGCGACCTTCAACGCGCGGAAAAACGCTCGCGACGTGCAATAACCATGTTTGTTATATACCTCGCTTCCTGGCCACTGCTTCGTCCAACGCTTGGCCTTTGACCCCCTGATGGTGGACTCTCGGAGGCTCCGTCGCGACCTGCTCTCTTCCCCCTGCTTCCTTCCTCCTTCTCTTCCGCTTCTTTCTCTCGCCATCCTAAACAGATTCTCAGATTTATCCGCGAGAACTTCGCGCGAGCGCGGAGATTAATCCGGATGACGAGGAAGCCGCGAGACTGATCATTTTTTTTTTTTAATCTCTTAGATGATGGTAAATCGGAGAAAACGTAGTGGGTGGCGGTTGCAACCTACTGATTGGACACAATCCAGATCCGTCCGCTGCGATTTTCGCGACTCTCGCGATGACTTCTCGGTGGAAAGGAGAACCCGACGGCGAACTCCTGGCGATATCTTCGCGTGTTGCTATCGCTTCGTCAATATTTCAATTGTTCAAAATTATCCTTCCAATTGTTATTTGGCGATTTTCCACAAAAGTCCAACGTATTTTTCGAACGCTAAGATGTTTGCACAACGTTCGATCGAGCTTTACTTCTTTAAACCGTCGAAAGCTTCCGGCGGTGCTCACGTTGGAGTCAGATCTTCTGTTTAATATTTAATTACTGCGATTTAATTTTGGATATGTGGGAGTTTCCGCCTCTTCGTTCCCGCAGAATGCGCGTAGACTTTCGATGCGATCGTCGGAGAATCGGATGTCATTTTTAAAAACGTAATCCGTCTCGAAAGGAACATCTCAAGAGCGCCGCGTTCATCCTTCCATGAGCGCCGGCTAAGTCGGCAACTCCTCCATTGAGGTGTATCTCGATTCGTGAGAGGATCCTTGACGTGACCGACCGTCGACATCGAGCCGACGGTTCGAGGATCGTTATAACCGCCCATCCTCTCGTCCTCTTAGACTTATAAACTCGAACGCGTTCGCTTTCGAACATCCTTCTCGAGGTGAACGCGCGACGTCCGATTTTCTTTCCACCCTCCCCCCTCTTCTTGCTCCCGCCGATTCCGTCATATGCACGCGCATTCTTCCTTTCTCTTGATGTTTCAGTCCCGCATACATATTCTTCATTGCTGTTGCTTCCTCTCTCTTTCTTCCTTTCTCTCTACCTTGCCCTCTACCAAGCTGAAGACGGATCCGGACACGAGCGTGCCGCCACGTTACTGCTCGACTCGGATGTGGTAGCGGGTGCCGAGGTGCGTCGGATCTCGATCGGTTTCGAGCCGGACACGGGCGGCCGGCCCAAAACCCCTTGGCTGTTTCACGATAGATTACGCTGATCCTCTGCGCAGTCGTCCGCCTTCTTCAGCGAGCGCTTCAGCTTGTCGACCAGCCGGTTGTGGAACTTGTTGAGGGAACTCGAACTGCCGGTCTTCGGCGGCGACGTGCCCGTACTCTTGCTCGGGCTCTGCAGAGAGCTTTGCGACGCGCGCGATGACGTCCGCGAGAAATGCCGCGAGCTAAGCGGTACAGACCGGTGCGCCGGCGAGGTCAGGAAGTCGGAACCGGGTGAAGTCGACAGCGACGGGCCCTCCGACTTGGAGCACTCGGATACCTGTGAACAAAAAAAAGACACCTATCGGGTTAAATGATGGAGAAAAAACTCCCCGACAAATTTTTTCACAAGTGGAACTTTCATTCAGCGATTGTAAAGAATGTATTCTAATTTTACTTCTTTACACGTTTATCATTGCGAATAATACGTAGCTACATATAAGATTCTATTATGCGTATCAATTGTTTAATCAACAAACTACAAAAGTTTACTTTATATGTGTTAAAAGATGATCGAATTTTACAACGATATGCGATAAAACTAAAACTGACTAAAAAAAAAGCGCATGAGGAAGTATCGAAAAATAATACTTTAACAATTGATCCGTAATTACTTGAAATAGTATTCTGCAAATATGCAGATCAAAAATAGTCAAGAGTATTCCGTGACTCGACAGCGGCATTATAAAGGAGATACAATTAATGAGAAAGCATGAGCTTCTCATGTTTTTAAAACGCGTCTCTTCCGGCAAGTTCAATATCATCTGATTAATCGATTAGCAAATTTGCATTCGCGCGTTTGTAAACGCTCAACGCATATTGGTTGAATTATTCACTGCTTTTAAAGTGCTATAAAACTTCTACACAAAAAGCATCATTTATCATAGACGTGTCGCATGCAGACGCACACTTTTTCACAGTCGAATAATCGAAACTACGACCACGTGCTGGTAGGTAGATATTGTCATAGCAGCAGAAGGCCGGTAAGTGGTCGATTAGGCCAGAGATATGTTTTCGTGTGTAAATACCACTTCCCTTCTTTAACACAGTGACGGTAGGCAAGATCATGTTACGACGACACACCGACGATCGCACAGCGGTTCTCAGTATCTCAGATTCACCGCCATCGGCAATTAATTCGTACCTTCTCACCGCTATAATTAATTTATATCTTGTCAGATTTACAATCTATTTTATAAAATTTTGATTAAACTACAATTTTTTATTTACTTTATAAAAAAAAGGTTTAATTTTTTAGTCACACTGTTTTAAAGGAACGAAATTATCTTTGCTTGTTTCTTTAATTCCAACGTTAGAGAAAATAAAAAAACTTTAATACGGTAAAGATTATTTACTAAACTTATTGCATAAATTATCTAAAATTCTTGACAGATCTGTTTTATCCAAATACTAATGTTTACTATCTCTAGTGACTAAAATTGGCTTCCGGTTGTGGTTCCAACGTTAGAGTATTGGTACATCGATTTTCACCATATTACGTAAGCCTCATGTCACAAGCGAAACGCGACTCGTAGACTGAAATATACATAAGCGAAGTTTGTCGTTCTCAAATATTCCTCATTTGATCCCACCGTGGTTCTCGTGGAAACGTATTGAATTTATAAACAGCCTGTACTCGAAGAGACGTTACGCGGAGATAATAATAGAAGCATTGAAAATAAGAACGTGGTCCGTACGATCGATTATTGGTCATGCCATCGCGTTGCGGAGGACAAGTTCAAGACAGGTGCTTGAACAAACTGTTTGCTGAAGAGTGTTTGCTCAAAGTTCATTGATACGAGTTTCACGTCAGTCGTATGTAGTCTCTAATTTCGTTTTTATTATTATTGATAGCTAATATATGTACAACCTAAAGAGCGTAAAAAAAAATATTGAATATTTTGATATGCTTTTCTGACAAATCAAAGAAATCAAGCCAAACATAAATAATAATTTGCAGTAATTAAATAACGCCCAATAGAATCCAAATGAAACATCACATTAACTTAATCCTTCGGAGATTGAGCGCACTAGTTAATCTCGTCATTATATTTTAATTATTTATGCGATGAGGTATTATTGGTTATCAGTTATTACCGATTTCTGATGATAATTTAAATGAGATTTATGCGGATTTGCTTGCAAGCTCGAAATATTTTCATCAAAATTTATGTATCGTGCAAATGCAGCGTCATAAAAAATTTACGAGTCCTTTTTTTTTATTGAGTTACGACGGTCCACGAGACTTTAAAAATACAATGCGGTTGTAATTAAGCGCCGATATAATCCTACCGGTATAAAAAATGCGCAGTATATGATGTATAGTTTTGACGTTATATAATTGGCAATGATTTCTCGTGAGATTGCGTTAATGTTCTGGCAGTAACGATCATCGTACTTGCATCGTTATTGCGTACTTGCAGTTTTCAGTGTCACGTGCTCCTGTGTTTGTATTGGTTCTAAATATCGACATGGAAGGACAAGAGTTGATAGTTAAAAATATTCCATCCGACTTTTTCTTACAATAGCACGGCGTATGACAACGCACTATTGTTCCGGAAATTAATTGTGCGTCGTATATAATAATGCCGTAAATATAATTTTTATATTTTATGTTTGATAATTATTCTATTAATTTAATGCATATTGATTTTATAATAATAATTATAATAATTATTTAACGGGTGATATTTTAAATATAATATAAATTTACAATTATTTTTAGACATTAATAACAAAGAAGTATGTTATACGAGATAAAAATTGACGCTAACAATTATTTTATTACTTATTAACGTTTCATTAAAATATCATCAAAAAATTCTGTCTTACATAATAATCATTTGATCATCAAAAGAACGGATTTTTTAATAAAGAAGATGGGAAAAGAATCAAATATTAAGTTGAAAGCCGTCGCCGCGAAGAATGCTTCAACGAGATCGCATCGTCGTTTTTTACCAATCACCTTTTCTGCGTCGTTCCCAGCCAACTATCTGCGAATCGCCTTCTGGCTTTCGTATTCTATTATCTTGCCCATCGCCCGGTTATACATCGCTTTAGGTGTAACAGTTTTTAAGAAGCATCGCGAAAACGCTCGGAGCGTAACCGATGATTGCCAACCAGCACGAAACGGAAACATCGAAACATATTGTAACATTATTGGTATAATTTAAAGTCGCAGGTAATTCATAGAATTACATAAAAAAATTAATAACTGTCGGAAATCCAAGCTGTTTATTGCATCAGCACTGATAACGGACTCACCAACAGATTTAACTGTCAGCGAGATTATAATATCTAAATCCATCGATATCTGAAATACTGCATTATGCGATCGCATAATGCGATTGCATTATGCGATCATCGAATGAATGAATTGAACGGATAAAGAGACTTTCGGTGAGAGTCCGTACAAGGGTTCACCGCACGATACATTGCAAAAGCGAGGATCAAACTTGCGCAATGTCGCGTCACAGATACAAAATATACGGAGTGTCCTCGATTTACCGCGACATTTACGTTTCAAAATGATTTAATGAAGTCTATTTATGTTTCGTATGGACTTAAAAACTAGTATCGCAACTTTTTAACTAGCAACTTTGAATATTTCTATCTCGAATCAAGTTTTTATCGCTAGCAAAGAATCAGTTTAAAGCTGTCTAGAAAAATTATTTATAATTAAACATCATAAAATTATTCTTGCAACTTGACTATGAGTCAGAGTATTTTTGATAACGTCTGGAAAAACCGTTGATGATAAAGAATGAAATAGCGCGCTGATTACTCTTTTCTCTATTTAAAGTTCTATTTTATTTCGTTTTTATTACAATTATATAAATTGTAATTAAAATTTTGTATTATCTAAAATACCACACAATATATAACAATTAAATTATATAATTTGACTTGATTAATGCAACGGAAACACAGTTAATTATGTATTATTATCAAAGTAATATTCTGAGAATAATTATCAAGCGCTTAAATCAAAAAGATATGTGAAATATTCATATATGTGTACGTGTGTCATCACATACAATAATGTTACAATATGCGAATCTCATTAGTACATTTATTCGTTTTCTCTTAAAAAATTTATCTCGGAATAAATATTCGTTAAATATGCGAAATATTCAACCAAAGGTAGCAATGAGTGACATTTGTTTAAGAATCGTTTTATCGTAAAAATACGATGTAAAGGTAAATTACTTTTTACGCTCAACACTCGTATAAAAATTGCATTAATGCATTAATATGTTCCGTACTGCTTTCATTAATATATTTTATTAGCCAGTAATATTATTGTTATCGTGAAGTTATTTGAGTTACGTGTTAAAAATAAACGTAAAAATCGACGAACGCGATGTCATAAGCAATACATATCTCGCGATAACGACAGCGATAAGTGCCGTATACCACCTGCAATTCGGCATTATGCGCATAACTGTCTTCGTCGTGATAGAAATAAACTCGTGACCGGCGTATATATTTAGCGACACGTGGTGCCGATCGTCACCCGTCATTGACTATGCTTATTCAGCAGCAGTAAATACAGTTTCCCCGGGCGTTTAGCGACGTCCGTAGGAAACCGGTTTCGAGTGTGGCGAGGTGGTCTTTTACGGCAACGATTTCGCGGGAATCTGACTTTTTCCGAGTTATTTCAGCGGCGAGCGCTGACGCGAAAAGAATGAGCAACATGTTGCTGTAAAATATCAAAAGTAAAAAAAAGAATTATTTTTTGCGTCATCATAGAAAGCTATAATCGCGTGTGTCACGAGGTTTTTCTCTCAGTAAAAATTTCTATGATTTTGGAGCAATTTTTTCTTGATGTACATTCGATGAAAAATTTAATTCAACATCAAAGACGAATATTTTTTGCAAAGAAAACGATAAACAAATAAAAATCTTGATTTTCAATTATGTCCAAAACTATGATTTCATATAAGTAAACTTTACTTGGAGGAATATGTTACGTACTCGAAATTAGTTTACACGTCAAATTATTCTCATGTTGACAATGTTAAAATGGAAAAGTTAATTTTTCATATTTAAAAACAACGCACACAGAACAAATCATAAGAAAAATTATAAGAATTGTAGTAGAAAAATATATATATATATCGCAGAAGCGTAGCAAAGTATTAAAGATGAACTCACATTGTAAGAAGGTACTTTATATACAGAATGTCCGTGAAAAGAAGATTTTATAATGCATATGGCTTTATTACTTCAATTTGGATATACATATTTTTTAATATTTAACAAAAATTTTTAATAAACAATAAAATCTCATATGTAATATGTTTTTTTAAGTATAAATACATTTTTGCTGTTGAAAAATTCTCACTTTTTACGCAACACCTGTATAACCTGTATTGAAAGGACGTACCGAAGTAGCAAAGGATCATCTTTCCGTTACCATGAAAAAAAATTCCCATTACACGTGTACATACACAGTTAAAAGTACACAGTGTAACGTGAATAATATTTATGAGAAAAGAAAGAATTGTTAGGACCATAAAAAAACAGCACAATTTACATTTTTAATCACAGAAGGCTTGACTTCCATAGCTCCAAAAAATCTACATTAATTCTCCATTCATACAAACGGGATGATAATATATTTTTAAATTGTCTTCTTATTATGTCATTTTTAACTTGTAATCATTTAACGTCTTTAAAATATGTAATAATTCATGTAATGATGATGTAATGATATATGTTAATGAGATAACCAATAATACATTGCGTCACACTTAAGTAATATTTCTGAAAAACTCAAGAGAATAGATAACGATATTTTTTGGAGCTTTGAATGTTAAATAAGGCGTTTATTTCGAAAAGAATAGCAAATTAGGGGAATTCATTGAAACGACTACCTTGCATCGATTTGTATTCCAACCTCGCAATTCTTCAATAACGTAATAAAACATTTCATCTTCAAAATAAACGCCTTGCGCAAGCTAGAACGTAAAATCGCGCAAAGCTAGGCTGGCCGATTACCATGAGAATCGAGACGGGAGGGCGATCAGGTGTGCCGCACTTTGCGAGACGGTTGTGTCTGCTAGTTCGCCAGACCTGCGAAAAAATTGCGCATGCAGTGCGACGCTTTTTCTCAATTTTCGTCTTCATCGTCGTTTTCGACCACTCCGCGATTTCAACGTGAGAACTCCGCGCGCTATGATGCACGCGCGCATTCTTTCGTGATTCTGTCGACTCGTCGGTCCGTAATCTCGAACGCAACGCGCAAAATATGCTCGCGGAAGAATATGCACATAACGATTTTGTTCAGACATAAAGAAAGAACCGTCATTTTTCATGCTGGCATACATTTCAATAGTTTCGCGGCAATGCACGCGGTATAATGCGCGAATGACGCATCAAGACCGACCGGCGCCAGTATTGTTAAAAGTCACCGATTCTTGCAATCCGATCTTATATAACGGGTGTCCGCGTTATAATCGGATCTCAATTTTGACACAAGAGATTATTTTACACTAGGATTAAATAGATTTTTTTTCTCTTTTATTTATCTTTAATAAAGAAAAAATATGCAGTGACATCACTGGTGCTATTAATATATGAGCCAACAAATTTTTACGTTTATTGTTTCGCTATTCAAATTCACTATATACTGTTATCTTGTAAATCAAACTTGCCTTGAAAATATACAAAACTTTATATACTCTTAACAAATAAAATTTTACGACGAATCTTTTACGTCGAAATAATTGCGCACAAATAAATGTATGTCAACATCTGAGATTTTGCCAACTTACATGCCGCTATGTCGTACAACGGTTTGTACAACACGGATGAAGAGATTAAAACTGTTCCGTTCTTCCGAACAAGACTAACGAAAAACATAATCGCACACAGCATATACAAATTTCTCTTTCCCTCGCTCTCTTTTCTTGTTATTTTAATATTTCTGTGTCTCATCTTTTTTTTGTGAGCCATTTTTTAATTCCGAAATTATAATAGCATAAGAATTTGCATTTTTGACAATCGCTGACAGGTCTGAGTAATTGTTTATACTGATGTATACTACTTGCCGCTTGTGTTATACTACGTATTACTATGTGCTTTCATTTACTACGCGGGAAGCAATCTGCCTTATCCTAGAACAGTGTTTTTCAATCGATGCTCCGCAAAAGTGGGTCTGGCGTAAAAATCTTTTGCATTTCCAACGAGAATATATCTTAATTCACAACTTTGTTTCTATTCCAAATAGATATGCATATAAAAGAGGGAAGTTAGAGAATAAATATTCATGCGCATTTTTCACCGATACGCCAAGTTTTATCATCAATTTTTCATACCAACGGAGAAAGAGAGATGTTCCGTCACTCGGGAAATGTTGAAAAACACTGTTCTGCGGCATAATAAATTTCTTCGCTCACCTTCCTGCTGCGACAGGCCTGCGGATTCGAGCACTCGGACGAGCGCCGGCTGCGATTAGTCTTGTAAATGTCAAATTCGTTTTTCACCACAGGCATCATAAACGCCATCTCGTCTGGGGTGCCGGCGTGCGTGTATGCTCTAACTCTGTCCCTCTTCCCGTCTCGGCTCCGCGCAACTCACTGTCCCGCTTCTGTACGTCGTCTCGTCCGCTCGTTCCCTCTTCTTCTCCTTCACTTTTTTCCTCTCTCGTTGGCTCTAGAAAGTTCTACGCGCACGGGACACTTCGCCGCGCCAGGGAGAGACGATCTTCACTGTCTCGGCGTGTCCGAAATTGACGATTCTTTTTTTCCTCTCCCGCGAATCTCGTTAGGCGGCGATTCACGCAAATCTGCCAAAATCGCTGGTTGATATCGCCGATTGTTGAATCTCGACCTGTGTAACGTTGACAACGTCGATGTATCAATGAGTTCCCTCTCGATCTGCTGTCACCGCGACGATGATCGCTGCGGCTGAGTCTCCGAATTTGGGCTACTGTCGACTGGAAAACTGCATACACGTCGCGCTTTTTCACAAGTGCGTATCAGTGTGTGTATCTTTTTTTTTGTTTTTTTATTTTTGACTGCGGCGTGTCGCTTTTTCGACAATCCGTTCAGATTTCACGTCCGTTCGATGCGGCAGTCCGCTACGGAATGAGCACGCCGGTCTGCCTGCGTGAGGAATAAGCGGTCGTCTCGCAAAACGGGTGGAGGGAACGGGCGCTCGCGTCCATTGGCTGCCGTTGAGGCGGGACACCTACGTCACGGGTTGCCATTGATTTTTCAATGTTGATACACACGGCGGCGTGACGTGCTGGATTGAATTTTTGGCGGCGCACTATCGTTTCGCGTAGGCGTACTAGAGTGTGTGCAGGTAGATTCATTAAATATATCCGGGGGATCCGGCGAATCCCTCGGGACGTGAGAAAGTCACGTTTGCTGACACCTCCGATTATCGCGGTGGATCAGCTGTCAATGGCGGATTTTTGAACGATCGCGAAATCGACGCGCGGAACTCCTGATAAACACGGATATCGTTTATTATCTCTTAATTCTTAACATTTGATGCTTTAACATTTGCAATTCAATATTGTATTTAAAAACGCTACATTTCAATGTTATTAGATGAGATCATTATCTACAAACGATAAACAAAATATAAATAGGTGGAAGTATCAAAAAAAGAACACGATTTTTACTTCTGCTTCTTAATTGCACTATTAAAATCTAATATATTCAGCAATACATCTTTTTAATTTCCGACATTAAACGCGGCCGCATTTACATTTTACTTAGGAAAATGACTCCAAATTTATCGTGCAACTTTAGTGTTAATAATTACTGCGGTAGAAGCAGGGAGAGTAAAGATAAACAAGTAATAAAAATTTAAGGAATAGGAACAGAAAATGAGAGAAGGGAATGTTTAACATTTACGCTACATTACGTAACATTAGAAGTACGCGATATTTCGGAGCGAGCTATCTAAAAATAGCTCAAATTTAATACATTCATAACAGGCATGCTACGAATAAGAATTAACTGTACACTTTTGAAACCCAAAGCAATTTTTACAATTTAAATTAAATTAAATTTACGCAATTGCGTAAGAGATAACGCAAAATTCTATATTACGATATGTAACGTTTTAGCGTGAACGCGATAAAATGAATTAATTATAAGCCGGCAGCGCAAAGTGATATAATTATCGATAAGATCGATGTACGGATAAACACGCGAAAAAAAAATTCGGTTGAAATAGCACACGAATTCTAAATTAACTCGTCAGCGGTCACAGCAAAACGCGCAGCACGTTTTTCAACTTTAATTAGAATTATACGTAGAAACTTGCATGATTAAAATAAAGTATTTTAAACTTAAAAGTTAAAAAATATCATGTAAGCGTGTTCAATATTATATATATAACGAACAGAGATGTAAACACCTCAAAGGATTAAAAACAGATAACATATTATTTTTCACTTTAAAAATGGGAGTAGAACGATACACGTATTTGAGTATAATCTTTCAAGACAAACAAGCCGACAAAAGAAAAGTAATAATCGAATAGGTTTAACTGAATCTTCTAAAAAGAAATATCATTCTCTATTGACCTTTTCACAACCCCCCGCCGATGTGAAAAATGGGAGTAGAACAATAATTTTTTTGCTGAATACAGCGCTCACAACGCAAACATATAATGCTACACATCATATTATTCAGCTTACAATACACGTATTTGAATATAATCTTTCAAGACAAACAAGCTCACAAAAGAAAAGCGAATAACCGAATAGGTTTAACCGAATCCTCTAAAAAAAAAGATCATTCTCTATTGACCTTTTCACAACTTCTCGTCGATGTGAAAATGTGTTTGGGATCAATTGAAAAGCTCCGGAATGGAAGGCGAGGAAGTAAAGATTTACTGTTGCCACAAATGTTGCAACAATATTTTGAAAATTTCTATTGCTTATTCAGAAAACTTTTTTTATACCGTGAAAAGTTTTGATTTATTCAAACAGTTTAGGATTATACATTGATAGCAAGTATAAAGTTAATAAAAATCTAAAGAAATAAATAAGGGCATTATTTAAAGAATTCTATAATAATGCACGTTGCGAATTTGTAGACGTTGCTATAATTCTAAGTTTTTGAACAACGAATATTCATGACATCAACGATGGTGGATCGTAACGATATTGTTCCGTATTAATTAATCTTCATGCCGAAACTAATTTCTCCGGTTTAATGAACGAAACTTTCGACGGAACGTGCACTGACTAATTAATTATGTAACACCAGAAATATTTATTTTGACAACAAATTTTGTGTTGGTAATTAGCAATAAGTTTTTCCGAGATTGCTCTTGTAATAAATTAATATCGATTTAACAGCTAAAAATATTATTTTATATAATACACGTGTCATATACATTTGTGTCTTAAATACTGTAAAAAACACTTTACAAACAGCTCGTTTTAATGTTGTTGCATAAAAATATGCATGACTACAAAGAGCTCTGAAGCTGTTGATGATATTTTGCGGTTTCACACTTTTATCTCGCGGTTGAAAAAAGCGATAAATATCGCATTGAACATGACAATTGAATGCGTTTGTGCGCGTGTATACACATATTTTATTGCACGGCGCAAATAATTTTACGACGGTCTGAACTCACCTAAACTTGTTAAAATATTATCCTTTGACAGTATATGTGTATAACAGGAATCGGAAATCAATATTCCACGTACACTTCCTCGAGTACAGCTATAGTTTGCGGCGTGTACATGCTATGAAAACATGCGCGAACAATGGCTGTAATGTTATTCAGATATCTATCGTGAATAACATGTTAAAAAATATATATTCTCTATGTTATATGTATTATTGATGTAAAAATGGAGCAAAAGCAACGAAGCGAAATAAGAATTACTTCGGAGTTTTAATTTTCATGTAATAAATATTTATAAGAAAGTTAAAAATATACTTTGCATAAAAATATTTATTGATGAAGGAAAAGAATGAACATCTCATCATTATGCCAGTATTACATTACTTATCAACACATGATATTTAACCATCAGAAAAAACTATAAAGCAAGTATTACCATGTATTGATCAGAAAGTTTTGCATTACCAATTGTTGATAGTATTAAGCGAGGTAAATTTTATTATAATAATCGATATCTATGAATTGAATTTTCGTTTATGACGAACAATTTGTGTTATTTTTTGTTTTTCCTTAATTTAATATTATAATTACATTATATATCTAATATTAATAATTTTACTTTAGAAAATAAAATTATTTACTCTCTGAAACTAAATACAAGTAGCTAAAAGAAATATTCAAAATCTATTGGCATTGATAAAAAAAACTAAAAAAGTAAACTAAAAAACTAAAAAAGTAACTTATTATGTATTAATAAGTACAAAAGATTTAAAAACCTCAGCATATTTTGTATTTTATTAAAATTGACATACATTCTCGACTGAAAGTTTTTTATTAATAATTTTATAAGAAATGATTTATTATTAAACAAAAATTGTCGTGTTATTATTGAATCATATTGCAAGTATTATAAAAATTGAATAAGCTAGTCCAACCGTACTTACATTCGTCGAGACAGTTTCGTGCAGAAAGAATTCTACTTTGCTATCGATTTTTTTTCAGGGACAAAGTTACTCCGGAGACCGCCGCTTGCTAGTTAAGTGTTTATGGTTACCCATGCAACGTGGAAGGAACGAGAAAGCAAATGCGACTTTCAGCGCTAATCGAACGATAGTCGTGATTCAGGACTGATGATGTTAGAAGGGGAATAGTAGCGCAAGAAAACGTAAAGCATTCGTGCGAAAAAATTTCATGACAAACATCCGCTGCCTCACTTTATTTTCTTAGTAAGTAAAAACGTAAAATTTACATTAAAATAAATTTAATTACTTTTATTTACAGTTTGAAGTAACAATTTCTGAAAAATATTATTATTCCATTGATTTATTTCTAGTATTGAATTTCTTTACTTTCTTTACAAATCTTTCTTTGTTTCTTTAAAAAATATTTATATACTATTGTAAATGATTATGTCAAAATTTGGAAAATAAGTATTATTGCAAAAATGAAAATAATCACTATTTATATCTTGAATTAAGTCATTAGTGTCAAAAATATTTTTAATCTGCTATAAATTGCTTATAATATTTTATATTGATATTGACTCGATCTCCGATCAATGAGATCTTCCGAACTCTCAATTTTTTTATCATACCAAGTTAAAAAAGATATTTATTCAAACCGTTACATCAAGTATATAAAAAAAGTATCTTAACAATATCGTGAGACGTGGATGCAACATCTCCGCGGACACGGTGCATTTCACGCCGACTTGACAAAGAACAACAGGAAGCAACGGGAGGGGTCAACGACCGATGATGTGCTTAAGGGTGAATCTGACTGCCAAAGCCGAGGTGTTCCGCGCGATTAAGCAGTACGGATGCGCTGACACGTTCCTGGTGGTGTCGAACCCCTTAAAGGGAGGCGCGCGAACTCCGCTGCATCGCGGAACTGGAGGGGACGCCTTTAGTAGGACGTGGCTCGCATAATGTATCTTTCGGCCGGCTATATACAGTCCTGTTTCACTGGCGCGCCGGCCGCGTGCTCGGAACCGTCGACGCCGGATCGCCGATCGATCCTTCCGGCTGCACGGATCAAGCCGATCGCTTCCAGTCGGCGATCATCCTCGGCGCGGTCCGTAATACTAGAAACTGTGCTGCAGTGATACACTCGCAGTAATCTCTGGCAATTATCTTCGGAGATAATGGTCCTAGTTGCGACCGAAGATTTACTCGACCAGAATCGACACTAATCAACGAACTCTAAGTGATCAGTCTCGATCGATGGCGAATCTGCATATTGCAGACGATCAAGCTGATGAAAAACGGATTTGAGCTTAATATGATGTATGAATAGGAAGAATTGTTGAAGATTAAAAAAGCGATATCATGCTCCGGTAGAGACGCATATTCAATCAACAGAAGAAGAAGGAGACAAAAAACATGAAAGAAAAATCGATAATCTCGACAAGCAGCGTCGCATTGTGATCCTTCTACATGTGATAAAACTCGATGACGGGAAAAATGGTGTTCGATCCGGCCTGCGAGGAGCAGAGGAAGCAATTCTTCAAGCAAGGCTATGGCGCTCATTTACCCGGGTGAGTACATGTGCTCGGTGAATGCTTTCAATCTAGCGCATTCATTGATTTGCGTTTTATTAGATCTCTCTGATCAACTGATTCATCATCTGTTTACGTTCATTACGAAACTAGTTTGTCATTAAACGCGCTTTAATGATTTGAAGATGTACGTTTGTGGATTTATTTTTGCACGAATATTCATAAAAATATGAAGAATATCTGTGATAAATGCAAAATATTTAAACACCGCATACGCGATAGTATCGATTTTAGGTATTATACAAGAGGTGTTGTTAATCGCGTACGAGTACATTGTTAGGTCACGGCAAAGTGTTCTACTTTTCTTATTAATAATACTGATAAAAATATTTATTTTTTACTTTGCTTATATCTAACATATTTTAAATAAAAAACATATTAAGATGCGTGGAAGTTCTCCATAAATAAAAATTTAATAATATTTGTCAGAAAAATTAAACATGTGTTAAATAGGTAATTATTAAATAAGCTACTTAATAGTTTTAATTCTATCTAAAATATTAGTTGAAATGTTGGACATAACAATTTTTAATTTTCCAAACGTATAACTTTTTAAATAAATTTTCTATCGTGTATTATTTCACACGACTATAAAATTTAAAATAAAAAAGTATTTATTTTTTAAACAAAATTAATATTCTATTAAGTAAAAATTTCCTACAGTTATTTACTATAAAAATAATAACATAAAAGTTTAAAAAAAGTTATTACTTTTACACAACAAAATGTGCCATGATTTCATCGCTGGGATTAGCGATTCAATGATTGCAAGAATCTAATTGAATTCACAGCTCCGTTATCGTAGGCACTAAATGTCTCGCTATCTTTATCTGTTGTTGCATAAAGCATGCAAACGTATCTGTAGCGTTCAACAAAGTAGCTATGAGTTTAATTCACCGCAAATCTTGTACGACATACGTAACAATTTTTAATTGACCATTTGAATATATGAAAGTAATAACTTTCATTTTCTCGCGCAGTTATCTGCGCATTAAGAATACCAACTATCATATTTAATAACCAGACGAGTTAATGTTGAAGCATCTAGAAATATTTTGCTACATGAGAAATTCTGGATTTTATTTTTATCGCGATGAAAATCTTAGAAGTTTCTTGGAATTTTTCTTCCAATATTCCTTGACCGCTTTTGCTAATTTTTCTTGACGTAAAGTCCTTTTTTGCACATCGGAAATTAAACTAATTGAATATTCACTGACACAAATGTCTCTATAAGTAACAACTTGTAATGTGCATTTAGGCTTTATGAACTTCTTAAAAAAATCAGGTAAAGCGTGAAATCAATCATTCCGCAATGAAACCGCATTTGATTGAAGGATTTTCAGCGATGTCTGTTCTGCACGAGATCAGATTCGAATTTTTCTCTTCGCGAGCATAATGGTTCGATTCGACCCGATCTTGAATCAGATCTGAACGGAAACCGCAGGTCAAACGGTTTCTAAATCGCTGATGCATTTCTTCGAGTTTATTGATGTCAACTGTTGACAGTGCTAAACGATTGTCAAACGTGTTCGCAACGTGAAAAATATATGGCAAAAATCTTAAATAAAAACGAAAATATAGAAGTAACATAACAATACATTATCAAAATATTTATTATTTAAAGTATTATATATTTACTTGTGTATATAAAGATTATAAAGGCGCTCCTGTTCTATCGTTGGTGATAAAATTTTCATAAAATTTTGCTAGTGTCATTCCAAAAATCGTTATTATTATAAATAGAATATCAATGTCAAAATGAATGATTGCAAAAATACATGTAAGTATACGTGTAAGGATTAGCTGCGGCAAGAACATGCTCACGTTAATACATAATGTATGTGCACCCAATGTATTATGCATTCATCGTGTTTACCGATCAGGCGAGAAAATCGAAGCAGTCGGCCGTGTCACGGTTCCGAAATTACATCGTATTCGGATTAGATCGCCGGACGAACCCCGGAAACGTACATTCCCAAAGTATCGACCTCGCGCCGGGAAGCTCTGGTACCGCGGTTGGTACCGTGCCAATTTACACCCCCGCGCGACGCTATATCACGCAAAACTACCCTCATCCGGATAGCGAATCACCTCGGACTATTTATTATCGTGATTTACCCTGGCCCGCGGAATATCGATCCGCATGAGACAAGAGACGCGGATCGAAACGAACGACTTTATTCTAGCTGCTTGGGAAAGAAGAAGTGGCGTCTGCAGAAAAAGCAGAAACTCTTTTTCCTTGGCTTTCTCGTGAGAAAAATAAATAGCAAAACATAACTAGCAGCGCGAGTCAGTGGGTTTCAATTCTTCTCTTTTACAAATTACAGTAAAAACTAAAGAGGAAGCTGAAAAACTGAAAACTAAAAATTTTAAAAAGTCCGACGTTCTTTTTATCGTTAAAGCGTGTCATACGAAATACGTTTAGCGATTGATCGAGAATTTTGAACGATCCGCTGGACACCGCGCGATTGCATCTCCTTGACACTGATCTTGCGTTATAGACGCGGTGCGATGGTGCAACGACCCAGATACGATTTATGTAGATCTTATAGCAGAGTCGGGACACGTGACACAATCGAATAGGAGTGACTTCGACGACACAGACTGCTGGTTATTCCACCGTGACCGTCGCAAAGTGAAGGCCCGATTTATACTGGGTCACCGGTAGTCCGCTTTTACGGTTCTGCGATTACTTTATTTAGAGATCGACCATGATGTAGTATTCTCTCTCTCTCTCTCTCTAGCAGACGCATTTAAAGCGATGCTCACAATTGACAAATCAACTGAACGAGCACTAGAAACATTATTTTGTGTTATCCTTGTACCTAAATCAGAGCTATAAATTAATGCGTATGATTTGTATAATTATCTAAATAGAACATGTTTTTTTTTTATTAATAATTTTTAATTAATTTATCTTGCACAAAAATTCAAGTCGGGGTCAATTTTTCTGAATTGTACTTTTGTAATATTCACGATTATAGGGATGAGTAAGTGAACTTTGCGTTTAAATTCTCGTATACTTACAATATGCCGTATCGCTGCAGCGAATGGCAATGTTGCGTTTCAAGGATCTAATAAAGAAGGTATATACGTATGCCGCGCAACACGGATCTCAGAAATTAGTCACGCTTCACTAAACAAGAAAACGCGTATAACATGTGCTCATAATAAAACATAATTTTGCATGCTACACTATTGTCCAGCACATTTCAATGATGGAAAAGTAGATTGCAAAAATTATATGCTTTTAGGTACACGGGTCACTGCCCTACGCTCAAATTTCGCGTTGGGAAAAGATTCGGAGCGAGTACGGAAGAAATAATGAAGGTAAAAATGTCTTTAAGGGCATCGAAAATTAATATGCAAATTGTTACACCAAGATATAAAACTAGGATGTAAATAATTATTAAAACATTATGTTATGAAAAAAATAATGTGATCAGATTATGTATTTAAAGATTTCATTTTATATTACGTTTTTTACTGCAGGAATTATTGGAAAAAAAAATTCTTAAGACTGGACCATATAGGCCAAATTCTGGTAGAGAAGTTGAGTTATCGAATTCTCAGGACAAGGAGATTAAAAGAGACTGGAATAACGAGACAAGATTGTACAAGGCGCCTCCTCCCTACATTCTAGGATATACCGGTAATACGTGTGTGGGTGTGTGTGTGTGTGTGTGGACAGAATATTCTTTCGAATATCCTTTTGATCACTAATAAACGACTAAATTTAGAAAAATCAAGTTTTAAAAGTAAAGATAGATTAAAGAGATTTTTTTATAGATTTTTTTTATTTTTTTGACTTTATTTTAGTAAAAAATTTAATTTAGATCTTAATTATCAAAATATTTAATTTTGCACAATTAAGATGTAAAGTTTAAAAACTTATAATTTATGGCTTTATCGTTGCTTTTGACTGCAAGTTGTCGCCTTAAGAAATTTAATTTAAATTGAATTAAATAATGAAATTTAAAATTATTATAAAGGTAATAGAAAAGTCTATGATTAAAAAACAAGGTGGAGTTAAAAAATTCTATTTTTTCGCTTCGGAATGCCGATGTAGAGTAAAATTGCTTTGGCTCGACCTTCAATGCACGCGAATAGTAAGCACTAATCGACCAACCTAAATCGTTTGTAATTAACACTTTGAGTATTGCATCGCGCACATGATGGGAACTGCTAACTTCAACTGTACAACCTTGAGAATATATAAATTGTAATATTCCATCCTGAATATCTTGATTGTGCAAATCTTTGCTTTATTTATTTATAATTATAATTATCAACCATTGTTTTAACTCTGATTACCACAATATGAAACAAAATTATTTATATGTAGAATAACAAAAGAGAGAGAGAATGTCATGCTTCGATATCAAAAGAAAAATAATTTTAATTTATAATTAACTTTATTCCTGTAGCCGATAAAACTGCTATTATCGTGCTGCATTCAATATAAAATTCATGCATCAAAAACTATGATGCACAATTGAACGTTAAGATTTAATAATTAAATTGGAAACGAAATAAATTGCTTTTGTCGCAAGGCTATCTTGACAAAATACTTATAAAAAATAAATTTTTTATTCAAATTAAGATTAATATTGAGCTCAATACAGAGTCTTGTTTAGTTGATAAATAAATCTAGCAATTTTTTATACGAATATTTATTACGATGCATTCCTCGAAGCGAATGTTACTTGACGCCAACGTTGTCCTGATTCGCCACAGGATATATTCCTGGCTTCAGCAGCAGGTACGGTCTACCTTTCATGAAGGCCGTGGAAGCCGGTGCCAAAGAATGGCACGAGGCGCAAATAAAACTGAGAGCACGGCGGGATGCAATGAGAGCCCATGCCGAACGGACGGATCCGCGAAATCTTCTCTCTCGGGCGAGGACGGACAATGTGGACGTCGAGATCGATCACGGTCATGACAGAGACAGAAGGACCTTCGGTACTGTCATTGCATGTTCCGCTTCAGTTGCTCGTTAATTCCTTCCGGCCGAATATTGCTGTCTGACGACATACACGTTGCAGTATTGTGTGAACTTTAAAACGTTAAAGCTATATAAATTAGAAAAAATAGAAACGTAGAAATTATTGGCAATTATCGCATAAACAGCAATTTTACATTTATCAACACTTTATTTAAATCTGTTTATTTTATATTTATTAGATTTAATTTTTAGTATATACTTATTTTTTATTTTTTTCTTTAACAATAATTATTTTAACAAATACTGATTAAACAGCGAGTTTGTCTATTAAATAATTCTAATTTAATGATCAGTATGCAATCATCGAAAACTCGTGTCTATTTGACAATTATTAATAACATATTAAACATTGATAAAGATTCAGCAAAAACGTCAAGAAAGTTCTCTTTTAAGAAAAGCTAATAAATTTTTATATTATTATTAATTAAAAAATTCACGATACTTGAGTCGAGAGTAGTTTTTGCGCGCCGAGAACTACTTTAATATCATTATTATTCATTACAGATTATCATGTCTCTCCGGAAAGACCGCCGATCGTCGGCTATACGGGCCACATTCCAGGCGCGAGAGGAGAAGTTGCGCTTTCCAAGAGGTACGCTCAAGCCGCCAAAAAAGGATTAGAGCGCGTGCAAAGGGAACGTGAAGAAAGGCTTAATAGGACTAAAGACATGCACGCTGTGCAGAGAGTCCTCGACAATGCGTATCTCGACGATACGGGACACACGCGCGCATAAGATGACATGAGACGACGTGAAAGGTGATTCTTTTTTTTTCTAACTGTTAAATGAGATAATATATTCAGACATTGAAAGAAAAATTTAAAAAAGTAATTAAAAAAAAAACAAAAATAGTTTGAACATTCATATAAAAGACTTGAAGTTTTGCATTGTACTTAAAATTCTGACATTAAGATCTCAGTTTTAAATAACAAACATCTCGTGCCTTGTTCCTCGACAGTATCCAATTGAGATTTTCCAATAAATGTTTACGTCATCTTTTACAAATTATGCTCGAATAAATAATTACAAAATTATTTATGTCCAGAGAAAGAAAACCTTCAAACGTCGCAAAGATTATTTTTACATTCCAGTTACAGATACGAGTAGAATTTGCTGTTTTCTAATTTTCGGACATAAATAATTTTCCGTACTACTCAGATGTCGCAGAGAACGGAAAAATGTACCTGTGCGAGGTAATAGACTTATTTAACTGATTTTTTAAAACATATATATTAATGATTTAGTATATTTGACAACGGATTATGAAAATATTTCTTTATGTCTATAAAATCTAAACTCTATAAGTAAACATGTTATAAACTTATTGAGTATATGAGATAAATTTCTCAAAAACCACAAGCAGCTTTTCTTAATTACTATTCAAAGAGTAATATGACAATCGAAAAGCGAGCTATCCCTTAAATTGCTATTTACTTGGACAGACAATCTTATGTGTCACTGAGTACATTTGTGTCGTATCCTAATATTCGTCCATGTAATTACAGGAATAAATCTGTCGATATGTGTAAGTTATTTTGAGTGCTTAGAGCTTCCAACGTTCGTTAGACATACACACACACACATATACACGCATACACATGCATCTATTCACATTTAGCAGCAATAGAATTGAAATTCTTGAAAATATTTCTACTGAGAAATATCTTTTAAGAGACCGACAAAGATCACTGATTGTGCTAGGTCCGTTTCAGGTAGAATAAAAATACAAATATATGTATAAACTTTAGAATTCGTGAAATGGATTATAGCTAATGTATAAATATTTCAAATCACGTCATACTTTTAAATGTAGCTTAATGGTACCGAAGAGTATAATTACGTGATATATATTTATATATATATCTACCCGTGTAAATAAAAATCGTAAACTTGCGTTCTGCTTCATAGAGCAATAACATTATAAAATGTAAGATGGTATATAAATTTTTCATCAGCAGTATAATAATTACAAAGATACATACAAAATAAAATAAATATTTGCATTAGTACAGTTCAAATTAATATATATATATATATATTTGATATTATGATTGTTTCTTCCAAGTTCCCGAAGCTAATAACTATCTTCCCCGTTGCGGCAGTCTACTCATTCTCTCCATTTCCAATTGTACAGTTTTCTTCCAGCATTCTGTATCTAGTGCCGTTTTTCCAAAAGATAAAGACATTAGTCTAGCGAACACCATCAATGCATGCAGATTATCAGCACCTATATTCTTGTTTGCACTTCGCATCTCCACGAAATCATCTTGGATGACCTACATAGAAATAAAAAAATAGTATATAAAATAACCGAGTGTGCAGCAAAAAATAAAAAAAGAGCACACAAAATGAAACCAAATACAGATACAAGGTTACGTTATAAATCTATCAAATATAACGTACCTTCGTGATTTCTTCGTTAAAAATAAATTCCGTATGCCTCAAGGCTTGCAAATATTGTCGAATATTCGTCAATCGATTCTCATCCTTTAAATATTGATGAGCAGCTTCTACTACCTGATCGTATAAATTTTCCGACTCTGCATCAACATTTAAGATAACTTGCATGGGGCACTACAAACATTTCACGGATTAATATTTATGGATAACATGCTGTGTATTTTGCAATGCAAACAAATACTTACAGGGATAAATGATTTTACATCAGAAAAGATCAAAATTGGAATATCTGTTTCATATTCCATTGTATAATACTTGAAGTCGTATATCAGTTTTTGAAAAATAAGTACATCAGAAAGGGCTTTATAGTTCTCCTTGCCAGTCACTGTAAGCTCCCCAGTGGTTAAACCTGTCTCATCTATCACAAGATGTGTATTATCGCTTAGTTGGAGAAGACCACTTGTCAGTCTGTTGCATTCATAATCCTTCCTAAGGAAAACAAAGATAAACTTATTCACTGACATACGTGCACTCGATGTGGCAAACTTACTTTGGAATTAAAGCTAATTCGTTCAAATTCTCCAAAGTCACCTCGAAAAAGTGGCTTTTCTGTACAAATAGTGACAAAAAGTTATAAAACTCTTTTGGAAAAGTCTTCATTTTACTGGCTGGGAAATTTGTGATGTTCAACGGAAATGTGCCGAGACAAAAATAATCTCGTCTCATGTATCTGAAAATATCATAGAAGATAAAACATGTGAAAAAAAGGTATTTAAGAAGGGATTTAAAACAAATACATACATCCTAGAAAGTAAGTTGCATATTAAGTAATTTGCAGCTAAATGATCTCCAAACAACAACTGAGTTAATATTAAGTGCAAATCGTCTCTGATGAGTTGTGCTTTAGATATGATTTCTGGAGCATTTGGAATCTCAGGTTTTGTAAGTTCGATTATCTTCACTGCATGTAACCGAGGCACCAGAGAAGCCGGTGGATTGTGAGTATTCACTTCAGCTTCGTTCATCTCATCTTCTGAGGCGCGAACTGTACTTAACATTGGATCCAATGAGATAAATCCTATTACATCGATAACTTGGTTTAGTTTCAAAATGGTCCCGTCATAAATCTGAAAAATGTAAATTAAAAAAGATGTACATAAAATATATAAATCTTGTAAAATATGTATATCGTATATAAATACCTTTACAATGCAAGCTTTTCCTCCATCAATCGGAATAGGAAAATTTAATATGTGTTCTTCGGAAAGTATACCCTGAGTTTTAGTGCTAGAATCTGTATTCATATCTACATCAGTGTCTGATGAAGTTTTTTCTTTCTTTGTAACAGGTTCCGAGCAATCCATTTCCTCTACATCATTTTCATCCAAACTTCTTTTACTGTTATTACTGTTGTGTGCCATTGTATCAGACTTCTGTATATTTGTACTCTTTTCTTTCGCCCAATTGTTTAAGCCAGGTATAGAGATTACAATATAGGTTTGTCTTTCTGAGTTTTCATTCTTGTTGGAATCAAAAGGTATTTCTTCATGCGGCTGTACACAAAGCAAAAGTCAATAAGTATCATCACATAAAAATATTCGATAAATTTTAGATCTTTGAGAAAATGTGTGCAGTATTATACATGAAATAAGCTGTTCTTATAGCATCCCACACCTGAACTGCACATTACCTTTAATCTAGACTTTGTGTCATGTCCACTGCTCATGTAAGAGTAGGGACGATATCTTCACAAAGTCATATAAAGTGATACTAAATAATATATTGTACATATAGAAGTGTAACTAAATGTAATAAAACAAGACATAAATTACCAAACATCGAGCTGCATCTGTGTACATTCCGCATCTAATATCACTTTCGTCAGTCTTCATGTCCTTCACTTCATAATGTTTAAAATAATATTCAGGATCATACATATCCTGAATCATCCCTCGGAATCTAACTAGCTGTTTATCTCTGATATCATGTGCTTGAGTATTATTCAGCAAAGGTATTTCACTCAATACATTTGGATTTTCTAAAATCTGCTCACAGGATGATTGATTTGTTACATAATACTCTGATGTCCAATTTTTTACTTCCACTGTTAAAATCAAAGAATTAATACACAACAGTGACAAAGAAGTCTCTTAACCTAATATGATGCAAAGTTTATACGATTTGTTATTTTATTTTAATTACTCTTTATATATCTTTTTTCAAAATCTGCCCAAATATCTTTGAAATATAGAAAATGTAAAAAGATGCAATTAAAACAAACAAACCATTGAATATTGGTTAATATTGGCACAATGGTTAAGTACACACAAAATACAAATATACTTACACGTCATTTTAGAAGTGTGAATTATCTTAGTAAATCTTTAATTATTAAATTTTAATTATTAAAATTATATTATTGAACCTAACTGTCAAAGGAAAGTTGAAAAATGTGGAAAACGCTGCTTTCTATCAGAAAGAAGACTAAGAGTGGAACATGCCCGCATTTTACGTGTTTCTGTCCGCTAGCGCCCCTATGTGTACAAAACGTGCACATTGAACTACGTAGCTAATGTCCACGAATCTCGTAGGTAATGTCTACGATCTTTTGGGTCTCTTCCGTGCTACGTTCACGACTTTTTGGTTCCAATATGTGCTATATCTATAAAGTATCCGTAATGCATACTTGTAAAACATGATTTTGTATATCAATCAGATTACTTTATACATATAGCACATATTGAAACCAAAAAGTCGTGAAACGTAGCACGGAAGAGACCCAAAAAATCGTGGACATTACCTACGAGATTCGTGGACATTAGTTACGTAGTTCAATGTGCACGTTTTGTGCACATAGGAGCGCTAGCGGACAGAAACACGTAAAATGCGGGCATGTCCACTCTCAGTCTTCTCTCTGTTTCTGTGCTATTGACAGTAAAGTTTGGCGGTAAAACATTGCCATAGAAAAAATATTAATAAGAACGGTATGGAAATCAAGAAAATGTTAATAATATATATCCTTTTTGCGGGAAATTTTTTCATAACTAATAATGTTTAATATAATTTTTTACCATAATTTAATGCATTTATTGACTAATAATAAGTAACAATAATGTATATAACTTTTAATAATTTTTATTAATTTTTATTAGATAATAATATTGCAGAAAAAGAAAATCTATTTAACACATTTAAACAAATTATAATAAAGTGTAATTAACGCTTTCTGGATCGAATAATCTTTTATCAAATTCTGTATAACTATTATCATCGCATTAACTATTCGATAGAGAGCGCGCGACTCATTTCCTCAAACTTACATATTAAATAAGCTCTTGTCCATTTCTATGCTCTATGCTCTAACATAGAGTGCCAGTTATTTCGGAGAGGCATGTGTGGAGCATGTACAATTTGCTTTTTGTTGAATCCTCTATTTCAAGACTGTGCTAATTTGTCGGCTTATTGATAACGCACGCCTCTTGTAATACATTTTATCTCCTCCTAACGAGCCAAAATAATTCAAAGTTACTCTTCAAAGAGTCATTACAAAACGTCATTACAAACGTTTACGAAACGATGTCATATGATTTAAAGAACGAGGAGGACGTGAAGGAATATCTGAAAAACCTTCACATAGAATATCAATTCGGCTGTTACAGCGAGAAAAAGCCGGAAGGTAAGTGAAAATGCGTACCGAATTAGTCTGATTTAAAGGTTAAAATAGCATTTTATTTCTTAAACAGTGTGTCATCTACTGGGTGATTTTTACGAAGCAGTTAATAATGAGTTGGAAAAAGCTTCCCTACTTTACAAGGCAACTTGTGACAAGTATAATTATGCCAGAAGCTGCGCGAAATTCGGTGATTTTAAAATCATGGGTGAGTGACCACTAAATAACATATGTTTTAGCAGACGATGCTTGTGATGTTAGCAGTGCCGATAGATATCGTCGGCATCATGGCGCCAATATTGAAACAGATTATTTGAATCTATTTTAAACTTGATTTATTAAAAATATAATTAAATATTGAAATTTTTTCAGTATTTTTAACATAAAAAATTTTTTAATATAAACCACAATTACTTTTATTTTTTAGCAATTAATTTTGTACAATTGTTTTTCACAAATACTTTGCATATCTAACACTCTTAATAAACCACATCAAATTAATTAAATACCTGATTAAAAAAATATCTAAAATGAAACACTTAAAACTTAATAAAATACATTTTAATAATTTCCTTGTTTAATACAGGTAAAGGTTGCGAAAAAGACATATCAACAGCATATAAGTACTTGACAAAGGGTTGCGAGCTCAATGACGAGAATGGCTGTCTACATGCTGGTGTTTTGGCAGTATCCAAGAATAACGTTGGAGAGAAGGATAGGAAAACTCAGATTCACAAGGGTGTCGAGCAACTGAAAAAGGCTTGCGATATGTACAATTCAAACAAAGCATGCTTCTATTTATCAGCTGTCTATTTAGGGGGCTTTGAAAACATTATCAACAAGAACTATAAAGAGGCTTACAAGCTGTCGTTGAAAAGTTGCGAATTAGGCAATCCATACGCTTGTGCGAATGTATCTCAAATGCACACGCGAGGAGAAGGCGCTCAAAAGAATCCCGAGCTTGCTGCAACTTTCAAGAAACGCGCCATTCAGTTGCATGAAGAACTGCAGAAAGTACAACCAGAATTAAAATTTCATCAAGGTATAAATTAATAACGCTACGATGTATTTGATATTTGATTGTTAAAAGGTTTGTTTGTTTCTTTTCGTGTGTAATTCTTACACAAATAAAACAGAAGAAAATGAACAAATTTTTTAATCAACTTAGTCTTTTGAATTTAAGTATTCTAGTGCGAATTGTTAACTTATTCTATGTATGACAAATATATTTTATAATTTATAATTGTCTTATTTAGTCATGTCATCCTTGATTAAATACGAGTTAGGGTTGATGATTAACGTTTCTAAAATAAAAGGTTTAATACAACAATTAGTTCATAACTTATATGATTCATTTTAGATTTTTTCTATTTAAAATCCACCTTACAAATTGAAGAACTTATTTTTTAACTATTTGAATTTATATTTCTAAAAAATTATGTATTACAGAGCTATGGAAAAAGTTAACATATTATCTCTCTCCATTTTTTATATGTTTGGGGGAAATAAATTCTTCAATTATACATGGATCCATGTTTATACTTGCATCAAATTGTTTAATAAATAATTGGCAGTTATAGTCATTATAAATATAAATCAAGAATCTTCGGATGAACGTAACGAAATATCCTCGGCTGATATCGCAGGTACCAGTCGCAATCGCTGTTAATCTTATTTTACTCTCTCTTTTTTCATCCCCACTAACTCATACTTTTCGTACTTCCCTCTCTCGCGTGTCCGAGAGCTGTCTACCGATGTTGTTCGCACTTTCTGCAGCTCATTCACCAACGACACAATCATGCAGTCCCACCTGTTTGATTCTCGCGCCTGTCTGGCTGCTGTCATCTTTGTTATATTTGCCTGTCATGGCACTTTGGTAAGTGTGATTCTTTTTAAATTTCGAAAAAAATACGTCAATTAGATAATCGTTTTTTATTAAATATTTTCAATATTCGACAATCGATAATGATGGAAAAAGATTGAAATATGCTATTTAACAGAGTTATAAATTTTTGAAATCTACACCCAAACTTTTAAATCTCCTCATGTCTCTACTCATGTATTTATCTTCAAAAATTTTCATTTTTTCATTTTTTTTTTTAATTACACGAGAGTTGTCTAACAAAAAATATTCTTATGCATAATTTTTAAACATTTTTTATCTTAACGCAATTAATTTATTTCCGGATTTTTGTTTAGCATTCTTGATTTGAATAATTTAAGAAAATAGCGCAATCTTAAACGCAAAATAAGTGCAAAATATTTTTACATTATTAGTTTAATTATCAGGAATATTATTACAATCATCTATTTTTTATCTTTAATAAAAAAGTAAAATAACTTTGAAGAAAATTGACATAAAAGAGTGTCTAAAGGATTCTACAAAGAATTTTGAATACGTAATTGATTTTATTGATTGATAATTCATAAATAACCATACATGTAAATTACATGTAAATGTTTAAGGCGCAGTCAGCCGAGTCGGACGACAACATTGTAAATGTGGACGTTTACTACGAATCGTTATGCAGCGATAGCATGCGATGGATCGTGAATCAGCTTGTGCCGTCATATTCGGAATTGAAAAATTCTCTTCACGTCACATTGATTCCATATGGCAAAGCTACGGTAAGTAATTATAATTGCGCCTTTTGTCTTTCTTGATTTTTATCATCTTTTGTCTTTCTTGATTTTTATCATTTTTTGTTTTTCTTGATTTTTATCATCTTTCAATGCAACGACATACGCGCTAAGATAATAATGAAATAAATGTAGTCTTGAATAAACAAACTGAACACGTGGAACACATTTTGTTTTACAATTTTTCAAGCCTTTACATATCTGCTGCTTGTTTTTGCTTATTTATTTATCAATTCTTTGACTTTTTTCTGAAAACTTATATTAAAAATATATACAGTTTGACGACAAATTTAACATTTTCATCTAAAATTTTAGCACTATCAACTCTCACTAGAAAACACTTGAAAAGATATAACTGAATATTTTTAGAAAACTATTTTTTTTTAATTTTTTTTTCTTACGTACTATTTTTCTTTTTTACTATTTTTATTTGTTCTTTAGCCAAATACATTTTCATCGTGCAAGATTCTTCAAAAATCAGCTTTAAAAATAGCATTATTAAGTATTGTTCGTATCATCATTATTCAACATAAAATAATACGAGTCCGTACACAAAGGATTAATTCATCCTGAGTCACACTAATGTCCTTGATGTGAATCGAGACGGCCTTGCCGTAGTCTCTTCGGGCTTGTCGCGTCTGCGTCGGTCCACAAGAAAAACACTCCAGCTTTAATGGCGAATAAATTAACGCAAATTGATGACATCTAGCACACCCGTGAAAGCGAAACCGGTCCATGGCAATTCTTGTGTCAACATGGTCCTGCCGAGTGCCGCGGGAATAAGGCCCAGGCGTGCGGGATTCACGCCATAGAAACCTCCGAGGAGGACCAGAATCATCAGCGACTGACGGTCAAGCTGGTCGGTTGTGTAATGTCCGCTCGAAACCCAGCGACAGCCGTACCTCAGGTAGCTTATCTGTCTCTATAATTTTCCAACCGGCAATACGTGATTTAATAGAAGCGGCATCGGGGACGCGGCTAGCGCGCGTTTTTATCGAAGCAACGTGTAATTAATCGCCGTAGGATTTACGCCGATGGGCGCGAGTCAACGAACTGACATTTAACTCTAATGACGTCGACCTTTTGACATACTTTCCCATCGAAATTATGCGATAATGACGTATCATGATTTGATGATGTATACGTGCACATGTAGAATGCATCTTTGAAATATTTTGCAAAGCACTATTCAATCTCTTGTACGTTCTAATCTAATTAAAAGGTTTATTGCTACATTAAAAAATAACAAAACGATATCATTTGATGAAGATTGCCAAGACTCTTCAATGCATGTTGAGAGATCCAATTTAATTTATCGTTGAAAAGTCATTGAGAAAAATCAAGATATGGTACACCATTAATAATGATATCTCTTAACGATAAAATATTCAACTATTTTGCAACACAAACAATGATATCTAATCATATCTAATGATAAAATACCTAGTATTTTTTACGATTAAGATAAATGTGTTATCATTAATGATACTGATTATTTCCATAATGTTTCGTCATCCAAAGTATGAGTTTTACATACATGCTTTAAAGTCGTGAGATCGGTTGTTTTTATTAAAAATCTTTTACATATAATGGAAAAATGCAAATATTTAAATAATATTTAAAAATATTGAAATTTTTTTTAAAATAAATTTCCATTAGAAATTTGGAATTCTGAAATATTACATTAAAAATACCATAAGAGATTAAAGAGATCAGATGAATTAGAAAATTATCATACATGAAAATTATCATACATTATTTTGTACCAGAAACTCAAGTGATATTTTAAACGCGGAATGTGGCGAGAAAATAAGTCAAGTTTGCGACTTCTTTCAATTAAATTATTTCAAAGTTTAATGTACACATTTAATGTGATAATAATGTATGTCGCTACCATACAAGATATTTCTGCTTATTATGCTTCAGTCACGTCACGGACACAAATCGTGAAAATATTTGGTATACGAATTTCTCAATTATAAAGATATGCGTTATCTCTTAGTAAAGACTGACGTGTAAAACAAATGTGAATGACCGAATTTCAGTGCGCTAAAGACGTCGGCCTGAGCGAAAAGACACAAAAATCGATTAGCGACTGTATCAGCAGCCCACTCGCGGATGATTTGTTGGCGAAGAACGGCGATAAAACGGACGCCCTTGAGCCATCGCTCAAATTCGTCCCGACGATAGTGATCAACAAGGTAAGCGTTATTCATTTTATCAACAATAACAAAATACTCTAATCGTTACATTAGATTCTAGTCTGATTTTATTATTAATAAAATAATGATTGTGTGTTCAGGTGTACTCGAGCGAGAATCAGCAGGAGGCGCTGAACAACTTCCCGAAACTAATCTGTCGACATTTGACAGCGCAGAAGCCGAAGATCTGCGAAACAGCTTGAATTGAAGAAGATTGAGGAAAGGCCGAGTCGCGCGTTGGAGGTGCGGGGACAAATAATCACTCGGTCAGAAATAAATGATATATTGCATATAATATACATAAGTGCCTATGTACAAAAATATATACGATTTGTCAAATGCAACGGACTGTTAAGTATAAAAGTAATCGTAAAAAAAAAAGAGAAAGAAAACGAACGAGTCTTTGGAAAGACAGCGCGTCGCGCCGACAATGAGATCACGGCGGTGGATTGAATGCACCAGCAAATGATCAATGAATGATCCTTCCTTATTTTTAACATGTAAAGCGGCACAATTACATTCTTTTCGAAGAAAGAATTTTATAAATCACCAGAGTGATCAGTTACAGTAGCTCTAAATTAAAACAATTGTTTGTCGGAGCTAATCTTCGCAACAAAAATCTTAAGCCTTAATTGAACGAAAACAATTAAATTAAGTTCAATGAAAAGAAAATGATATTAAATGAATATTAAGTGTTCGATAAATTGAACGCTTACTTTTCGGCCGCTCATTCACCGATGCATTTATCCTGTTTCGCCTTTGCGGGGGAAAAAAGGATTCTCCCGCCGAGGAAAGTTTTATCCGTCGATAAAAATAGCATCGTTCAGGGCGCTCAGCTCGTGGAATTGCCGCTCGATGTCGGCGTCGAGCTCGTGGAAATCCGGCACGTCGTCCTCTGCGGGCGCGCAGTATCCTAGAACGAACAATGTTTCGCGATATTGTTTTTTCGCTTTATCCTCCTTTTCTCTCGCATTCGATCTCGCGCGCGCGTTTTTATGTACTTTCACGAAATTATGCGAGGGTTCTCTTCGAAATAGCACGGGTGCGTGGCACGTGGCAACGCGTCATCTGTTTTGTCACGCGTACGCTCGCGCGTTCGCTGTACGCCGCGTACGCCGTCAAAAAAGTAAAGAATATTATTTTAAGACTCTGTATGGGGTAAAGGCATAAAAGCGTGGCGAACCTCCTCTGAGATTAACTATAGACGACCGAGTGCGCGACACTGTCATCGGCATCTCGTTGCGGTGCGCGAGTCGCGACAGAAAAAGCTAGCACGCGCGCGCGAGACGCAGCGCGCACGATCTTGATAGCTGCTTATGATCTACGCGAGAATCTTTTCATCTGTTTTAATCGGAATTGCATGCAACGTAAATGAAGTAACACTTTGCACAAGCAAGTCTCATTCGACGTACGTATAATAAATCGGAGCTATTGCTAGTAAAAGTTTAAAGGTCGTGCTGTATCTTCGCGTGTGGTTTCCGCAGGGGTATAAAAAAAAACGATCAAACTCAGCAGCAAGTTCAAATGCTTCTTATCGCATTTCGACTAGATTTTGCTTTATCGAAGATGCCGATTTGAACGTTGCTCATGCACGAGATATAAATCTTACTAAGAATTTAAGCCACGATACACTACTTTCCGCGAATCGTGATACTCAATCGCGATACGTGAAGTAGCGATAAACAACTGATTAAGCATTATTAATTTGGTTCAATTTTTACAATACACACACGGCACCAAGAGCCTGGCAAAATTGGCGGTGCCTATTGAAGGTGAAATCGATTAAATATATATACGTTACCTGTACTTTCGCTTTGCGCGACGTCATTAATGAGCAGATGGCGAACCGACTCAATCGGCACGTACTCTTGCTGACTGCTGCCGAAGTTCACAGATATTTTACTTGGCTGGCACGTATTGCGCGGCAACGTTTCCTCTTTGACGTAGCTTTTAAACGGCTTGTATAACGGTTGATTCGTTTCCACGTCGAAAGAGCACATGTCTCGGCTTTGCCCGTGCGATACCGTCGAATTTAATAATCCATTTCCGGTCGCGCTTGTTGTCGTAATGGTCATTGACACTTTGTCCGACGATGTCAATAGACTGGACAATGAACCGGGATTCTCCGTATGATTCTTCAAGTGCTTCCTGAGACTCGACGGGTCCGTGTAACGTTTGCCGCAGCCGCTCACCTGACAAGCGTATGGTTTCTGCGGAGGAAAAAGAAAAAGAATCATTAGCATTATTAATTCTTCTGCGCACGATATTATTTTTTTGCGTCAAGGCCGCTAACTATCGGATATTAGAGGAGAAAAATGTTAGAATGCACTTAAAGTGCCATTTATAACAAATGAGAGACATCGTACTCTGTCATAGTGTGTCCTTTGATGCTTGGCTCGATCGCTGCTGTTGCTAAATGCCTTTGAGCAACCGTTGTGTTGGCACGCGTAAGGCCTCTCGCCTGTGTGCGACCGTTGGTGAATTTTTAAGTTCTCCAGACGACTAAAGGCCTTCTTGCAACCCGCGAACTGAAACCCAAATCGACAATAAGAAGTTAATGTGTCGTTGACAAATCGTAAGAAACATGAAAATTTTTTAAACAGTAATACAATTCAGAACATGACACGAACCTCAAGTGAATTGTAATATTTAATAAGTGCTAACTTTGCAAAACTATTTAAAACTAATAAAAACAAAAGTTTTAATGAAAATAAAATAATAAGTTGATTAATTCCAGAGAAAATAGCTGTGTAATTCTATTCGAAATCGGCCGAAGAAGAATCTGTTATTAAAAAACATCCAATCTCTTGGAATTTTTTATGCAAAGCAATTGATGGAATGATAAAAAAGAAATGTGAAAGAGCAAACGAGGCGACACTAACCGGGCATTTGTTCGGTTTCTCTTGCGTGTGCACCCTCATGTGAATGAGCAATTTGTATCTCGCGTTGAAGGGTCGCGCGCGCGGACATCCCTGCCAAAGGCAGGCGAATTCGTCCTCGCGGCTCGTCGTCGGTGCGGTCGCGGCGCCGAGAAAACCGTCTGCCGCCTCCTTGCCGTCTCGCTCCTTGTCCCGATCGCGCTGCATTCGTCTACCGTGGCCGTGCGCGTTCGCCGAGGACGATTCCACGTGCCGCCTCTCGATGTGCCGCACCAAGCCCTCTTGCTCCGCGAACGCACAACCACAGTCGATCCAACGACACTGATAAGCCGATGAGAAGTTATCGTCCACTGGTTTCGCGCAATCTGCAACGTGCGATGTAGCGTAAATACACGCAACTGGAGCAGAAATTGCATGTACAACGAAGATTATCGTATGTATTTAAATTCATTTGGCATAGTTACGCGAGATATCTAATAATGCTGGAAATACTGGAAATGTCTTGTCAATATATACAAGAATACCGTAAAATCGAAAAAAATTATTTTTGCGTATTTTTATTCGTCTTCTTTTATCAGATAAAAAATTATGTAATTTTTTTCAATTAATAGAAAAGAAACTAGCAAGTTTTTTTATCTATCTAATAATTCATCAGAGTCTATCAAAGAATTGTAATTTTCGACTTTTGTGAAATATAATAAATTACAATTCACTATTTGCTAAACAATATTGATAACGTTACAGCTAGAGTGATGTATTTAATCTATTTTATCTATCCGTTAAAAACAATTTTTTACAAACAATTAAAAACAATGATCGAACGTTTGTACGATTAACAAATATTTATGAGAAAGATCCATTAAAAATATTTAGAAGACCATTGACTTAATGAGTTTCATTTATACTTAAGATGAAGATTATTCTGAGAACGTAAACACATGAAGAGAATCCGAGACGCGTTTAACGCTAAAGATGCGGTGAAAATATAGAACATATGTTCCTCGCGTAAAATAAATAACACTTGAAATCAAACAGTAGATAAAAACTTAAATGGGTATAAATGACGCATTAAATGAGACAGAATTCATTTTAATCGTGTATTAATTTACTAATATCTTTAAATAAATTTATCTCAATTGATTAATTTTAATATTTTAATAAAGAAAAGTTTCTGATTTATGTTAATTATTCTCTTAAATCTTGGACCAAATTTTAAATTATTACATCACACTCTATAAATTGTTAGATGGATCAAAAGATTTGTCGGTTTCTCTTCTATCAGTATAAGAAGCATGTAGAAGAAAAAAAAATAATTTTTTCATACATCTGATAAGACGCATAAGAATTCTGCAAGAACGATTTCGTTTTCCTTAAACAAACTGAGGCTATAAATAATACTGCGTACTTACCGTAGGTCTTATCATTCTTCTCCGCGACTTTCGACCCGGCGATGCGCCGATTGCCGAGCAGCAGACCCTCGTTCCGCGGCAGTATCACCTGATTGCCGAAGCTTTCCGTCGCGCCGACGACCTCGTCGGCAAAACTGATCATCGGCTGTTGCTGCTGCTGCGAAGAAACCAGATGCCCGACCGCGTAATACGGCGGATTAAAGTTCTGGAATGATTCCTGCTGATCGTCGCTCGTCCCGAGGCAGGTCGCCGACGACGACGAGTCGACGACGTTCAGCAGCGACGTCGGATCGCCCCTGATGAGACTCAGGTCGAACTCGTCGGCGATGGAGGAGCCGCTGTAGTTCTGCGCAGCGACATCGTTCTGTATACTCATCAGCAACGACACCACGTCCTCCTGGCAGTCCTGATAGTCCTGGTAACCGGCCTGCGGGTCCTCCGCACCGCCGTACTCCGGATAAATCGTGTTGCAAAAGGTACGCGAGAAGGAGAAGGCCGATCCCACCGGCGGCAACTTCTGGCAGTCTGATTTGTCATCGGATCCATGATCCGCCGTCGTCGCCGCACTGCTCCAGGTCGGCGTAGTCGCCTCGCTGCACGTGCTTCCTGGCGATCCGCTTCCGGCGGAGGGATACTGCGCGGGGTACTGAAAGACGATGGGTACCTGATCCCAATCGAGGTAGTCCCGCGAATCCGCGCCCGGGTCGAGCGGCGAGAAAAAGCCGCCGTCCGTCTGCGAGCCGATTGTCGTCCAGCAATGCGGCTGAGCGACATCGGGGCCCATCATGCTGGTCATTGCCATGGACGCCAGGTCGGGCAGGGAGCCGTCGTCGACGGCGAAGTCGTCCACCTGGTCGAGGCGCCGCGCGTCGTCCTCGTCGCCCCTCTCGCCGTGGTAATCCTCGAGATGCATCTCCCGATGCGTCGTCGGTCCGGGCTCGACGCGGCCGGCAGCCTGCCGTCAATCATAACGATAATAGTCGCGCGTTAGTCGCCGCTGCACGCACGCGATTAAATTGCGAAACGCGCGCGGAGGATTTTGTAACGTCACGCGCGAGCGGATTGAGAAAGCCGAGAGCGTCTCTCTCTCGGCGTTATCTCACTCTCCGCGCACTTTTTGCCCGAATATCAGGGCTGTCGCATTTGCTACGTAAGACGGTGGAGATAACCGAACCTAGGCGAAGCCTCCGCGATATCGCTGCGATGATAATGATGACGTGAGCGGGCTCGCGAATTCGCGTGCGCCGCTCCCTCGTCTCGGACCACTCTTTTTATAGAGATTTACTCAAATCTCCATAGTAATTAATCATGCGTTTATACGATGCCCGATAAATCAACATGGCATTTAAATCTATCGGTAATAATTAAATGAAACGAGGGAACGTATATAATTAAATCAAATAAATGTGTAGCTTATCAAACGATAAAGTTAAAATTTTTTAATTAATTAAAGCAAAACACATGGTCTTCATGTCAATAAAAAGTCGAGATTTTTAACAGCGAGTAAACTCCACATCTCAGATATCTACATATTTACTTTTTATATTACACATCTAAAAAAAAGTCACAACTGCAACCAAACTAGCGTAATTTTGCCGGAGAAACATCTTCAACTTTAACAAAAGTAACTTCTTCGCCTTTGATCAGTGTTGCACAAGTTGAAATAATAATAAGTAATTTCTCTCTCCTTTCTTAGAATTTCACAATTTCCGGAAAAATCGACTCTCAACAGTTGTGACTTGTTCTCCACCGGAAATGCATGCGATATTCACGATAATTTCGACCTTCCTCAATTTTCGTTCACTTATATAATCGATAAATTAAAATATTTTACTTCTAAACCTGCGGTATTATTGCTAGGGGAAAATGAGAAACGCAATCAGACACGGAGCACAATAATGAAATCTTGGATTTTTCTTTCGTCAGAAAACGTCACCGCAAACATCAGACTTCTTTCATAACATCGATGTGATTATTTGCTCTGTTAAATTCGTCGTAAACAAATAGCGAATTGGATACATTAATACGCACTGTACACTTCAATCTTCTTAATTGTAAAAACAGTATAACATAGAACACTTCGAAATACCCGACATGCGTTCCGCTAAAAATAATCCTAATAAAATAATAAACCGTACGAAACTTCTTGCAGATTCAATTTGCTTATATATTATGCGTATGCTTTATGTCAATTTACGATAATTTAATATGCACCAGTTCGCATTAGTGTATCCAATCGCTAAAAGAGATGTCCGGTCGTGTGCCTCATTTTCCTCCTAGAAACAAGAGATAGCGCGAAATTGGAGAGGAACGTCAGAGAAAAGCGGCTTACTCCAGTATCAACGTATCAACATGTACACGCCGATCACGGGCCGCTTATCGCGCCGGTCTTTTCCGCTCGGGAGCTGTTTTTCTTTTTCTCTTTCCCTCTCTCTTAACGGCACGCGTGCGATAGCGATCGAACGAACCCCGTCGGACGAACAAACAACACTTCTTCTCGCGGGACCGATAAGAGCAAATCGTCTTTTGCACCACCCGTTAACGCATCTCAACGAAGACTATCAGCCGCGTCGAGACGACGCCGTTTTCCGCTCAAGGAGTCGAGAGGACCAAGATCTCCTTCCCCACTCTGCGGCGGTGAGAGCGCGTAGCCCTTCGGAATCACTCTCTCCTTTCCCTGAAAATCCCGGAGGGCGGAATATCGTAAGATGAACGCGCGAAGGGCGCGCGAAGAAGGCGCGAGGGGAACATCGCGCCGCCCACTCGCGTGGCTGCGGGTTCTCCGCACTCGCCGCGCACGGTTGCACTTGTCGGCACCGGAGGTCCCGCGGGGTCCACGGCCTCGGCTTCGGACCCCGCGGGGGTGGCGGGTACGCGCGACTAAAACATCTGCCGGCGCGTTCGGCGCCCTTTCTCGAGTCGAGCGACTTTCTAGTGTGAAAAAAAGGGGGGGGGAATAATTTAATTTTGCAACATCTACATCTGAACTTATTAGATATCGATAAACCGACATCTCTTCCTTTTAATTGCCTTATCTAAATTTTAATTGCATCAATGAATTTGATTCATACATGAATTGTTCTCTTATCGCGCGTCATCGCACTCTTTCGTCTTCGCACTCTTTAATTATTGCATTTACATATTTATTATAATTTTTAATCGTATATTAGTAGCGTTGAACTAATGCGTGATTCGTTGCATCGAAGTATCTTGACGAAATGTTTTATAGTGTAAACTATGTAAGCAAAAGAGATGAGAGATGCAATGGGAGCAAGAGTAAGGCAGGAAAGGATAAAAGAGAAAGAGGGAGAGTGCTCGAGAAGATCTTTCGTCGCTCGAGCCGTAAGAATCGGGGTGCGGGGCAAAAAAATGTAAAACCAGCTGCCACACACGCGTCACTTATTAACAACAGCTTCTACGCGCGCACCACATGAGGACAAGTCGTTCACTCCTTATTCTCCGATTACAGGCTGTCGCTATTGCACGTATCTTCTCACCTCGCCGGTTCGTCGCGCTCCTCCCCCAATTTCTCACGATTTTTTAATCTTCCTAATCGACCGCACGTCGCATCGAAACGCGTATTAATTATCTGAAAAGAAAAAGTGTATCAGTGAAAAAAATCCTTGAAAACCTATTTGCCAAAAAATATCTTAGGATCATATTTTGCTATGGGCGCGCGGAGCACTTTTTTTTTTACGATTCAATTTCTTGCAATTCAATTCATCTGTCGTTAATGTGTTCGTTTCAGCTATCTGATACTTTGAAAACTGAGAGGAGCCATGTTCGCTTTCCGATGACACGCGGGGCAGTGACCTTTTATGCGCTTAGTTATGACACCCAGAACCATCGATACTCAAACTAAGAAACGGATGCAAAATACGGAATACTCGACCAGGTAGATTATTTGTCTCCCTATATTTTTTTTTTTTATCGAACTTCATGTTGTGCGACACTGCGCGCGTTACAATGTGTTATTTCGCGTTTTTACATTTCTGCCATATGTGGTGCGCGCCCGCTCCGCGTTCATTCTTGCGCTACTTTTACGCGGAAAATTACGGGCGCATGTTGTCGTGTGCACGCATACGTAAGCATGAATACGCGCCGATGCATCTTGCGCATCTCTCGGGCACATCGTATCACGGGTAGATAAGTGATATAGTGGCACATGTGGTCTGCCAGCCCTCGTATGCTTACATTACATACGCGCTATGCCCGCGCTCACTCGGTTCCCTCCCCCTCCCCCCTCCCCCCGTCCTTTTTTTGCCCGGGCACCTGTCAGCCTCGCTCGTACCATAGTCGCCGCATGTGTGTACGCGACCCGACCGCCCTTAAAATAAATACACCGTAAAAAGGACACCGATCATGTTCTCCCCCCATACGGATGCAATAACAGCGAAACGGAAAAAGGCATCTCGGGCGCGTTTAATCGCACCCCACATGAAAAACCACCGACTGCTCCCCCCCCCCCCGCGTAATCCCGCGAGAATTATATCTCAATACGAATTAATAAACTTGTACAAGTGTGCGACGTATAACACGTATGTGCAGAATTCTCCTCAATTCTGTATGAACATCTTAACTTTTAATGTCGATCTTCGACGTTATTGCATCCCAATAGTTTACTCGTGGAAAAATGTCTAAAAAGAATTCTAAAAGATAGGGAAAAAATGCAGGAAAAAAAATGTCTCGAATTAAATTAACGCGAGCACTTGACGTGGGCCGCATCACACGTACGTGTACGTGTCGGCAAACGTTTAGCATTCGGTCAAGCGACGTAAAAATAGAAAGACGCGCGCTCTGCATGTGACTTCGTATAATTAGGTACCGAGCCCGAGAGGAGACGTTGAGTGGAGTTCTATGCACCATACGTTACAAGCATAGTGCATTAGAGAGAGTCTAACGGACCACCCATTCGTCTTTTTTCCCTCAAAGGCGAAGATGACGTAAAATCCTAAACTGATGTAAGTCTCTAAACGAGAATTACATAAACCGTCTCCACATGTAGACGGATGTTTTTATAAGATCGCTTGATATCAGAGGTTTGATTATTAAGAGCGATTTTCTTGCAAATAGATATATTAAAAACTTTTCTCTCATTGCTGAGATTAAAAAAAATCGTACAAAACTTAATTATACTCACTGGAATTATAAAAATAACAATTTAATATTGTCCGTAACTGCTGACATCAACGTTATATGGTACATTAATATTCATGACTTTAGACGTGGAACATCTACTGCCATCAATTTTAGGTTCACTTTCAACAATTGGGAAATGCTGCACGCGTCCACTATTCCAGGCTATTGTCAGACAAATCCACGATGAATGCTTTTGATAAAAGTTAATGCAGTTTGGCACTTCCCCGGGAAATCCTTTGATAAGGCAAGTTGGCTGAACATCCACTATCCGCGATAAATTACTCAGGTTTGTTTTAATCAGTGCAATTACGGGACTGTCCTATATTGTTGAAAAGAAGACAAATGGCATTAGAACAAAATATTTTATAATTAATGTTTTTGTAACAACAAATCTATTCGTTTTAGCTGCATTTTTTATGCCTTATATATATATTTTTCTCTTTTTAAAAAACTGTATATTTAATTTATATATAAAAAAGTGCAGTTGAAACGAGTAAATTGGTTTAATAATTTTTTTTCACAAACCTGAAAGAGAATTGCGAGATATCGTCCAGTTGGATCCCATTCCATAGAAACTATTCTGCCTCCCACTATGATATAGTCATCATTATCATCCGATGAAAAGTTTACTTTCGTCAAATCGATTAGACGCATAGCTATCTTTACATCATTGTTCGTTCCTTTTTTAACGTCAAATATGTTACTTTGCAGTGGCAATGAAAATATTGTAGCAGGATCTTCGGTAGTAGTGAAGAGTAATGTTAAATTAGGACCAAAACATGCAGCCGCTACACGACCACGGGGTACAGTCCACCTTTCTGGACGCCATTGTGTGGGCACGCCAGTATTCCAAACTCTAAAATAAATATATCTTCATTAATTACATATCCAGTAATTGAATGTTAGACGAACTTGAAAGAAGATATACAGAGACATAAAAGTACAAAGACAAATGTACAAAGAAAATATAGACATAAAAGTACAAAGACAATTACCGAAAAATATTTCTACACGAAGCAGCGAATAATCGCGATCCACAAGGTGACCACCGTATAAAACATATGCCACCTCCACCGACACGTTTCAGAGGAACCCCCTCTTCTTTAGAAACATCCCAAATTATTATATTTGAGTCTGTTGGTGAGCAAGATGCCAACAAATCGCCCTTTAAAGAAAGAAAGACAAAAGATTTTGTAATATTTATAAATGAATTTAGAAATTGTTACGATATACTTCTATAATATGCTTAGTATGAACAAGAGCAAAATAACAAATTACTTGTGGATGCCATATGACACTTGTAACAGGCCCATGATTTCTTTGCTTTAGAAGTACTGCATGACTAAGTAAATTACTGGCTGCTCCCAATTCTATCGTCCAAATTAATATCCCAGAGTAGCAAGCAGCTGCTAATTCACGACCAGCGTGTGGTCTCCAACTCAAACAACAGACTGACTTCTGTGCACTGTGTCTCAATATCGGTACGCCTAATATACCGTGTGAAAAAATGCGAATTCGATCGTCCCTCGTAGCTACAGCCAGTCGAGAACAATGCGGATGCCAAGACAGACATCTTACCTATCATAAATACACAAAAATATAATAAAGATCCATAGATACTTTGACGCACTTATTCTTAATCGAGTCACGTTACCAGTGAAGTATTCCAATCCCGCGTAGCGACAATATCAGCGACAGATCCAGTTCCTGATGTGGGTAACACATCTCTCTGATATATTCCTCTTTCCATCAAGTCCAACATCCAGTTTAATCTGTAAAATTATATATTTTTTTCACATTGATACAAAATTATATTAAATCTAATTAAAAGTGCAAGATACGAATTTTATGATACCTCGTTGCTATCCAATATACAACTTTTGTGACCTGCTGTGGGTTTGTAGCCGCAGTAAAGCGAATGGCTTCTGACCATCCTTTCTCTCTCCAAACATTAGCAATCTTCTTGAAAATACTGTCGTGAACAGGTAGAAATAATTCTCCTGCACTAACCGTGCGTGAAGAATCACGAGTAGCCAGAATGTCTGGTGTGATGGAAACCTCAGGATACGTACGCAAGTACCTGGCAAATGGTTGAATCTCATCCTGTAGATTGTCATAAGTGCAGTAATGCACAGCACTCTCAATCAAACCAACAGCGGTCGTATCGCCGACAAAAGCAGGACAATCAAAGTCCTGAAGTGACAATATCTTCAGCATCTTTCCTTTTTGTCAACTGTTGTGACCGACTTAACCTGTACATTTAGACAATCTAACCTATACACAAAGCAACATTACAATTATTTCATAAGATAAATACATTGCTAATCTATAATTTTTTCAACCAATTATACAAACAATTGAGGTATTTAATATCACATATTCCAAATGCAAATCAATATGCTTTTTCTAACCTATATAACTTTACACTGTGTAATTTCTGTGCTGTTTCAGCAACTAGAATCTGACATCGACACTTTTTGAAAGTAAATTATTTTGAGAATGTTATGAATGTTATTCTTTAATTCATTTCACTTTGATAATGAAATTTTTATCGTTACAAACCAAAACCACTAAAATCTAGGAATAAAAAATTATTATTGTTATACTAATAGTTTGTCCTCAGATCCATTATTTCACTCAGAATCATACTTTATCTCTATTTTGAAAAAGTAATGCTATATAAATATGTAACGGTAAAAAGAACATAAAAAATACAAAATCGTTACAAACTATTAGAAAACTATATACCAACTCATCAGTTTTTATTTTTAAAAATTGTAGTCACAATATATGTTATATTTTGTCCAATTAAAATCTCGAGGAAAATTAGAAATTTACATGCATAATATTTTGATAATTTAAAAATGCAAAATGCATACCTCTTACTAGCTAGCAAGCCGGGGAAAATGGCGTGCTCTTATTTACATCAGTCGTCACGACAACGAGCTATCATCGCGAGCTATCAAACGCGCGTGCGCACGGTATTCGAAAGGTTATTCGAATTCTCGACGCTGCGAAACGACGACGAACCGCGGTGCTCGGTGCGACTTGTATGACATTCCGTGCAGATTCGTTCGCTGAACAATATAAAGTAATCACAATCTAAACAACAATTCATGCTCGTTCAAGAATCCGTCAATAAATCGCGAACAGCGTGAATTGGAACAGCCGGCAGCGCGAACTAGGCGTGCGTAAATCGCAAGAAACTCTCATCTACACTTTTTGCATCTGTTTATCTCTGTCTCTCTTTCTTTTCGCGTCGCCGGCATACGTTTGTTTCCTCCCGAGTGCAAGTGCAACAAAACGCGGCCGCGGAGAACAGACCTATCAGCATAGCGACGGCCGCAAGGAAGGTGGGGGCGCGCGCGAGAGGAAGAGAGAGAAAGAGAGAAGGCGGAAGAACCGAGCAAGATAGTTGACGGGTATCGTCGGGAGGGGTGAGGTGGGGTCCGCAGTGTGCGATCGCCGTTCGTGCGGCGTGGATTGCGTTATTCGAGCTGTTCGTTACGTTCGCGAACCGAGGACTGAGCTTTTCGCGAGAGAGAGCTTCGCCGTCAGTTATATACGTGCGCGGTGCGGCAACGAACGAACGAACGAACGAAGCGAGCGAACATACGTGCGTGCGAACGACTGAACGATCGAGCTTTCACCCTCCTTGATTCCGACGAAGCGATCGGCGATTCGGATTCGCGATGCTACCGCCGAGGTAGTCCGCGAATCGTGCTCGGGGGGGATTCACCGCGCGATGACGATCTCGGTCCGTCGAGGGTCGTTCTCGTCATAGAAGAAGAAGAAGAAGAAGAGGAAAAAAAAAAGCAGAGAACGAGCGTGTTCAACCGAGAGAGATCATTGCGGCGCAGGACGAGGCGCAGAGCGAAAGCGGCGGAGGAGTCGGTGGTGGTGCGGGCGACCGCGAGAGATGGGCAAGAAGGGTTCCAAGCGGAAGACCCGATGGAGAACACTGAGCATCGGTGGTGAGTTTCACTTCCGTCTTTCTATCTATATGCTCATCCATTTCCTATCCGCCGCGCCGCCGTCGTGTCTCGCGCAATCTTGGTAAAAATTTCTCGTACAGGCGATTCCGCGCCGCGAGAGACGTGAAGTATGCGACCGGTCATCGATCAACCGCGCGCGCGAGAGATGTCGCGGAAAGAGAGAGAAAGCGTGCGAGGAAGGAGAGGACATTTTCGCGTTATCGCGAGGTGTTGGCCTACTCCTTCTCAAGACGACCCTCGCTGCGTTATCTCAGATCTCCAAATCTGTTCCTCTCGGCCTCGTATTTGCACGCTTCCCCCGCTGAAGATAAAACGTGTCGCA